TTAAAATGTATTCATACCTTATACAGAAAAAGAATGTGTTTATAGCACAAAGACTGAAATTGTTTGGAATTTCAAGTTACTGAATCTGGCTTCTTGGTGAGAGGTCTCTGACACTGATGGCACTGGTGTTGCAAGCAGTGTGTGAACTTCTGATAACTTTTCCAGTAGAATATAACACTTGGCTTTTGACTCAGAAGTGCCAAAGTGATTTTGATTTCCTAAAAGAAATTCTTTCTTCCCAGACTGTACTGCCATAATTCAGATCACTGGCAGTTTTCAAGTAGAAGTACTTGAAGAGAAGTGACTGTTAAGAGAAGAGACCAAAATGGTAGTTGATACTGGTTTGTTCCTTTCAAATAGAGTAAGGATATCTGTGAACTCCACATCTGTATCTCTGCTTGCTGCAGGTGTCCTGAACTTCCTGCAACTATATAGGAGATACAAGTTCTTTTATTCCCCGCATGAACTGCTACCTAGAATCTGTACTCAGAATAAAACACCCTGACATTGTTAGATCAATTCTAATGTTGTCCTAGTCAATCTACTGGCATTCACTATCATTGGCCATTGTCAACTTTTGCCAGTAAAATAAAAGTCTTAATATCTTGGGTTGAAATGGACTGAAATATGTTTCTATAATTTATATGTGTTTGGCATCTTATGAGCACAGCTCAGGCAAAGTTTTCTGCTACCTTGGATGATGGGAGTCAATAATCCAATGCATAGGATGCTTCACAGTTCTTGGAGAGGACAGATATGGTTCAGTGATACATAAAAGACTTCATAGGTTCCTTAGCACCTATAAATTTTCAATAGGATCTAATGTAAAAATCAGAAAAAAACCTGTTGTCCCTGAATTACTTTAGTAGTTTAAAATATTTAAAATAATTACTGTATCAAATATTGTTCTAAAACTTCTTTCATCCAGCTGGGAGTAATTCTCTTTTTCCTTCCAATACCACACTCTAAGTAAGAATTACTGCAACTGAACTTGTCAATCTTACGCTGAGGTAAGATCGGCATAATAAGTACAAATATCTTCCCAGAACAATATTGATCTGGAGCCAGTCCAGTAAAAGCACTATTGGGTTCCTAAAAAAATATGTGGATTATCTATGTACACAGCAACTTGGATATTTTCTAATGAATGACTTTCTGTGCAGTAATGTTGCTGGTTATCCTAGGACTGAAATGACCCTGTAGAAATGACCTTGAGAAAGCCTTAATAAATGAAAATACTAACACTGGCATTATGACAGCCAACAAATGAAAAAATACTCTTCTCAATATGTGGCAGCTACTCTCCTTACTGCTGAGCAAAAAGATAACTGTCATCAAATTACGCTACTCAGCCCTTCTTTCACCTCAGTGCAAAGTGTGGCTGTTGGTTGTTTTTGTTTCTTTCTATCATCTGGACACATAATAAACTGCACTTTCTTGATCTTTCTGCTTAATATCTCAAACCCTCAGCCTACTTAGGAATCATTCTCCAGAATCCCAAGGAAAGAATCAAATCAGTTTACTGCCAAGATCTGTTTAAGTGATATACACCTTCAGAAAATTATGGCAGTGCTTCTTAAAATGATTCATTCTAAAAATATGACAGTAGTCAGACTGGTAATACTTGCCTACAGGTAAGAATGATGCCAAACATCCACAACAGTTCATAGATAGTGGAAAACCACTAATCTAGGTGAGAAAACAATGCTGTACAGTTCTATATATCAGTTAGAAATATGGCATTGCCTTTACACACAATGTGTTATGTTTTGTTTGCAGAATAATTATTCTGATCTCGTCAACTACATGCAATTGTCATTTATTAATATCAGATCACATTATATTCCATGACAATTGCTTTTAAGTTACTCTTCTCTGCTGAATGTCATGTCATTTAATGAGACAGTACCATCTTATTAGAATTCACCTAGGAAAGTGTCACTGTGGCCAGGGCACTTCTAAAATAGTTGAGACAAATTAGTATTGTCAAACCCAAGAGAGGGATTATAAATTCTCCTTTAAACTGCCTTTGCATCTTTCAAGGACAATTTACCCCCTGCAGATTCAACTGGCTGATGCTTTAAAATATCTCACACTGTCATTCTGTAAAGTGTTTCAAATTGTTTTTTAAACTCAGAATTTTTTTGCATGCTATTTCTTTATCTGTAAAAGAAAAAATAATATTACTACAAGTTTAAGTTTTTATGGGTAATAAATACAGATATAAACAGCATTGTCAAGCGAAGAAAATAATTCTAAGTAATTTTAAAGTATAATAGTTACATTTAGCTGATATATCTAGACAATTGCATCAATTGAATTAGTCACCATTCAGGTTCAATTTAATTGCCAATAATTTATTTTGAAAGTAGGAGACCTACAATATTGAATATTTATTTCTTTTCAGACTGAATTATATTCAAATACAACATATAAAACTCTAAAAGAATCCTTATTTCAAGTACAAATTTGATGTTTCTCTCTTCCATAGCTAAAATTTGCATTGGATTACAGAATATGAACAACTAGGGCTTAAAAAAGATACTAAATATTTAAAGACTTACTATAAGTGTTTCAGGTCAAATATCTGGAACACACTCATAAAAATCAAAACATTACATAGAAATATGACAACTCAGTAGAAATTCTACTGAGGAAGAAATTCAGTTTTTTAATTTTTTTTTCTTTGAAACAACTTCTCTTCTCTGTATTTAATATATTATTTATGAAAATCTTAAAATTTGAAACCAAATGCTTCTCTTTATCTATATGAGTTATTTTAAAAAGATATAGAAGTAAATTTCAAATATTCAGCTAAGTATACAAATTTATGCTAATTGGGACCATCATTATACTTCAAAATACCAGTAGAACAGAAATTCTAAATTTTGAGATAACTATATTATGACAGTATTTGGCAACAGCTCTTCATCTGAAATAAATTTGACATTATTTAAAGGGAATAAAACAAGACTCAAGTAAGCAAGTAGGCAAGAAACCTTACGTGAAGTAAGGTAATCGGACTTATTCTGATTACAATTGGTACAAATAGCATATTCAATTTCCTCCAAATACTTGCCTTCATCTGATATCTCTCCTACACCATCACACAATTTCCATGTAGACTTAGAGGCCCTGACCAAAAGAAGAAGAACGCTCCAATTTATAATAGACAATAAAAAACTGTATGGGAAGAGATCATAAGATCTAGGTACAGTGCAGCTTCTTATTTTAGCTATATTCTTTGTATTTTAAATAATATTGGTTTGTTGAGGTCATTATGTTTACGGATTCTGGTCTTCACTATGGTCCAGTTTGATGGTCATACGCCCATTTACATTTTTCTTTGATTTTTACTTTTGTCAGTGTCTCACTCCTTTGCTATTCGAGACGTGAAACTGTGATTTCAAAAATATGCACCACTGCCACTAAGATTATTTAAAAATATTTTGATTAATGTTTTCCTTTGCCTCAAAGGAGGCTTTCAACTAATTTTAGTACCACCCTAATCTCAAAGTACAGTAGCTCTAATTTACTACATATTACTGTGTTTAAATCCAAAATGAAAGCAAAGTGACAAACTCAGTCAAAAAGAAAACTATCCTTAACCTTCAGAATATTTCTTCTGTTGTGGAGAATTCTATATCACTTAAATGCCAATCTTATCAAAGTCATTGCTTGTTCAGAAACAGCGACATTTTGATAACTGGTTTTAAAAATAGTATGGTATAAGGGAACACAGCTAAATACTTTAATGGTCCTAGGCTCTCCAACAGTTTTGTGCTTCCAAAAGTTCATTGCTGACATATAAACTTTATGTTGTGCAATGTGCTTGTAGACGGGGAAAAGATGGGCTTGCCAACGAGGCAAGCTGAGGAAAGTAAAGGCAAAAGACAATAATACTTTGAAAATAGTTGTTCCTTGCCTTTTTTTACCCTCCATCCCAAGCTTACTATTTGCAATAAACCTACTTCTTCATTTCTAGAACTTTATGATCGTAAAGTTTTCTGATAGAGGTAACTACTGTACCTTAATGATTCAATACAATATCCTATCTCACACTAGGCAGTTCAGTTATTTTACAATAATAGGTGTGTTTAGTTCAATTTTGTCAGGATATTTTGAAGTCCACAATGAACTAAGGAAAGTAAGGAAATAAAAGTTAAAACTTTGGTCTTAAACCCATGACTTTTCAGACAAATGAAACTGACTTTTTCAGTTTCTGTAGACTTGTGTCATAAGCAATCTGACACAATCTGTCATAAGCAATGTGTTTTTTAGACAGAGGGAAATTAGTTTGGAGACACGTAAAAAGATGACTTGCATTATGCCTGGCTACCCGAAGGAAACAACTTATCATTTTGTTAAACCAATGAGATATGTAGGAAATATAAGAGATTTCCTAACAGTTTATTTACACAAGAAACAAGAAACGCTTTCCTTTTTAAATGAAAGAATTTGGTCACCCTCTTATTCTGCACTACTAAAGATAATTTTAAGTGGATTTCAGTTTCAGATTGCTGAAAATGTATTAACACATGCTGTGTTAGAGTAAAATTGCTTAGAGTCATTCAAAATCAAATAATAATGGATCATGAACTCAACCTTTTCACCTAAATTTGCAGAAGTTTTCTACCTAGACTTTCATATCTGTGTTACTTCCATCTTTCTCAGAGGGCAAAATGAAAGACAGCCTTGACATAAAGACAGTAACCTAGGAGACATCAGTGTGCACAATGAACTTTTACTGGCTCTATGAAACTGGGTGAATCTTGTATGATCAAGTCCAAAAATCAAATTTTATTTTGAAGTGAAAGAAGGGATTCATAGCCCTCTGTCAAGTTAACAAAATCAAACATACTGGCTAAAGGATTGCTTGCAACCCTTTATAATGCTGAGGACAGGGGAATAAATCATTCACTTCCCTACAGTTTAAGTGCCAGCCCACCTTCAAGACTAAACACAAATTTGTAATTAAATACCTAATGTCATTTCTTTCAGTCCAGGGAGACTCGTGTTAAATGTTTCATTCCTCCATGCAGATTGGAAGCCATATATCCCAAAAGAGTCTTTTAATCATCAGGAAGATGAGCTGAGGGATCCTCAATCTGCCTACTTGGTATTGTTCCACTTTGCCTAAGAAAATATTGATTTAATTGCACTTACTAAAGCACTCATCCTCATCCAGTTCCTTCTTCCACTAATAATTTGCTTATTTATGTTGGAAAGGGAAAGCTATGCTTCCCTTCACCTCTGCATGTGAACTCACCAGTTATATAATCAGTTTCTCATGGTCTTTGGCTGAATCGATATTTAATTACTCTGTGTAAGTGAAATAAGTTCAACTATTAGTAGTTACTAGCAGCTATAAGTACTTAGTTTTTTGGGTTTCTCAGCTAAAAATCAAAAATCACAGAGTGAAAACGGAAAAGAACAAGATATTCTGTATCCTGAAAATGCTGTTTAGTTGTTACCTGAAAGACTTTCAAGGCACCATCCTTGATTTAATTTTGCTCTCTCTGTGACCTAATCTGCACAGTGTTCTTGGTGGATGTTTTGCTTAAGCTCTGCAGATAAGTACTTAGTGTCCTTGTCAAAGTACTGAATGCTAACAAGACTGAAACAGTTTTAGACAGGACCAGTAGATCTCTAGGCACCTAAGGAAATGAAAGTTGGAAATTTAAATCCCAATAAACTTCAGTTACCTTAAGCCTTAGCATGAATCTTTGGCATGTGAATAGGAATTTAAATTCCTGAAGTTATAGTATTTTATGGTCTAGTACTTATATTATCTATGAAGTTCTTCAATTCTAAGGAGTTCTTTAAAAACGACAGAGCAGAATTTCTCCAGTGTATAAGTATTTTGAAAATAAATGTATTGAATCTCACAAAATTTAAGGATCAGCTATGAGGCAACAGACCAAAATACCAACTCATATAAATGATATATACTATGATATAGCAGAGTTTATTCAGTGGTATTACAGAATGTTTTACCTTTGCCAGCAAAAACAGTCATGCAATGACAACACCTTTACAGTTATAGCTAGAAATGTTTCCTCATATTCATGGGCTTTGCAGACATTAACTAATATATAATCAACAGTGGCATAATATGACCATATAGGAAATGGGCTAAAGTTTGGAAATAGAGTTTGCACTTAGATTTTCCTTTTTGAAGTTACTCAATAGTTAATCCTTTACTTCAGTGTAATATGAAAATATTTCCAAGATGGTAGGATTCACAAATCTAGAGTAGTCACTGGGTCTCACAAAAAGCAAGTGGTATTCAGTCTTTCTAAAGAAAAAAAATAGGAAAATGCAGCATATCTGCATTAGTCAAGGGCATACTGAAAATGAGAAGATAATACCAGGAACAGGAAACAGAACCTTTGCTTCAAACTCAAAATTAGGAGTGGGGTACACCCATGTCCCAAGAGGAGGTGGCTGTCAGAGGGCAGAGATGGGCATGGGAGTTCTGCTACAGGTTTTGGCTATGCCAAAAAGTTGCACGTTTGTTTGCTTAGCTTTGCAAATGAGCCTTAATCTGAGCTGGTGAAAAACATCTTGACCAGATGAAAGATGTTCATCCTAACTGTCCTCAGTGTTGATGTCTTGCAATACCATGAATACTGACAACAGCTAATAAAGAAAATAACTAGTACGTGACTGTTAAACAGAATGGGCTTATTGCTTGACACTTCACCATCTTCATTAGAGCAGATTTACGCTAACTACAGAGACAACATCACTAGATTTATAGACCTAAAGTAATAAAAGGCAAAGTTACTCTTTACTCAACAGAAGCCTCATTGTGGAGATTTATATTAGAAAGTCACTTCATCATCTTCTGATTAATAATTAATTAACGGCATGGGCTCATTCAATTATTCCTTTCTAATATTTTCACCCTATTTCCTTTTCCACCAAAAATGCAATTTATTATAAAATACTGCCAAAGGTGATTGATGTAACTGAAGACAAATCTCTTAAATATAAAATTCTTGTTCAGAAAAAAGATGCCAAGTTTCATACCCACAAACTGATGACTAATAATGACCAAAAAATTACTAATACTTATTGTCTTAAAACAATACTTGACCATCCACTATTGCTTCCTGAAGGCAAAAATTTGGGAAACATTTTTACAGAGATGAATGATTTTATTACAAGCAATATCATCTGTAGTTACATACGTTGAACTCGTAATAGGAATAGCAGGATGAAACAAAGGATAAGAATATTTTGTCTGAATATTGAGACAAACTTCCGAACAGGGAAATCTATTATACTCTGCAGTCATTTCCTGGAGCATATTATGTTTGTATTTATTTTACTCTCACTGCCCCACAAGTCATGCTGATTTCAAGACCAAAGCACTTTGTGGAGTTTGAATTTAAACCCAGATGATTGAAAAAGCAAACAATACATTTCAAGCTAACCTCTCTGTGATTGCTTCTGTTTACTTTTTTTTTTCTTTGTACAACACCTACTTTTTTTTTTTTTTCTTTGTACAACACCCACTTACCAGGAATTCTAAAGCTCTGAATAAAAATTATGTCTGCCTGCTGTGGAAACAAATTACTCTTTATTTTTTAACTCCATTTGCAAAACATTATTCCAGATGTTATAGTATTGTCAGATGTAAGACAACATGACACTTCTACAGTCTCTTTTCAAAACAGATTTTGACATAAGGGAATTCTCCACATACTCTGTTGTGTCACTTCATTGATTATTTTTTTTAAAAAGTCTTAAACACATTTGGGAAGGAAGGAGGTCAGATAATAATACTGCAATACTAGCTGTTCAGATATATTTTTCCTGATAGTTTGGAACTGATGACACAGGGCATTAGAGAGTCTTTCACGATCCCCAAAGTTATCTTTTTTGAGCCAATTAAGAAGAAAAGATACATTAAAAAATATATTGTTTGATTTGGGGAGGGAAGCTTCACCAGTGGTAATCAGTGGTGATTTCTTGGATTTGTTGCCTACATGAGGCAACATACATGTGTATTACATGTACCCATAACTGGATTTACAAGAAAAGCTGCAGTAAATTTCTCATTGCTTTGCACTTACTTGGTCAACCCTCATCCTGACAGATGGTGATGAGCAGTTCAGCAGCATCCCTAGTCATTATGAGGAATACCAATTTTGTTGGTTAATGTCACACAAAGCAGTGTGTGACCAGTCATAACTCTTTACAGCCATCTGTTCCTGCTCAGTATAAGTAGATTATTTTGGTATGGACTATGTTTTTTATATACCAAATACTTTATTGCATCCAGTCACCCAGAGGAAGATGGGTATGAATAGGACACAATTAATGATGAATTTGTATAAATAATACTACATATTTATTCTTCACAGATTCTTCAGAGGAAAACCAGGCATTTTAAATTCATAGAAGTACTGGTAATAAAGAGGTTTTTACATAAAATGCCGAGGGACTTGAAGATAACGGTAAAATATTTTTATTGAAGAATACAGATGCAGCATTAGAGTTATATGATACATTGCATCTCTTCCCATGCTATTCCTCCGTGTCTGAGATTCGTAACTTATATTCATGCCATGATTTTTAATGTACAATATACTGATGCTTCTATGTCTTTAACGAAGCAGCTGTAGAAGTAGGCACATATGAGTCAGATGGTCAATACCAGAGCCCTATCCCTGACAGTGGCCAGCAGGACATGCTGCGTGAAGATCAGGTAGCAAAGAGTGATTTCCCCCTCGCTCCAGAATTTTCTCTGAACATTCTGTGACGTGTGGCTCAGAAAACCCTTGGGTCAGAAATGAAAGAGACATTGATTTTATTGTTCTCCATCATACTTTCTATCCATCAACTTCATCCTAGCCTGAACAATCCTAGTCATTCCTTCTAGAGAGGTAGGTTGTGGAATTTCGAGAAGTATATTTTGTCTTTTGATGATTTCTTCATCCTTTTATATCTTTGCTGTATTTCTTTCAATCCCCTTTCTAAAATTTCTCTTGTTATAATCCAAAGTTTTGTTTGAATGCAGAGTAACACACAAGATTTGTCTTTGGTTAAATGAGAAAGAGAACTCTCAAACCATGAGCTTAGTTGCATGCACTATGCTTAGTTCATATCCCTTCTCTTTGAGACAAAAGTTCTGCAAAACCCTAGGATTAAAAATTATTTATTCAGTTAGTAGTTGTCAGCACTAAATAATTACCTCTAGAATACTTTTCATCTCTAAGTCCTTAGACAACGATGGTATTTTACATGTTACTTTCTCGTGCTAATTACAAATGCAAATAAAAATTTTAGCATATGTTAATGTTTTATTTTTCTCTATTAGAAACATAGAACTGCCATATATTGTAAAATTATTGGGAATTATTAATCTTCAAAGCTGACATTATTATATGATAATTGTTTTGTTATTTTCAACCTGAATTAAGGATATGATATAATTTATCAAGATAAAGATGCTCAAAGCACTGCTGGAGAAAGCAGCTGTGTATACTTCCTGATTTTTGAACAGTTGAATTATCTCAGCCAATAGTATATTAAAAGTCTTTTATTATGAGGAGTTCCTGTGACTTTTAACTGACCTATTACTTCATTTTGATTGTTTGTGAAATAAAGATTTAGAGGCTTAAAATACTCAATCTCCATTATGTGTACTTTCTAAAATGCTAGTTGCACATTTAGTACACCAATAAGAAGTTTCCATTTAAAATGAAGTCCACATCCATGCTGGTGTTAAAAAACCAGACCAATATGTCATTCAGTGCAAAGATAAAATGTGAATATTTTTCTTCCCCAAATATGGAACTATAGCCTGAAACTTTGCATAAGCTGCTAAGGGATTCCCTTGTGCCTTCCTGTCAGTGAGGATAAAAAACATCCAACACCACACTCTTCTCCATAACCAAAATTATGCATTTTAAATATAGGATTTTTCAATATGACTCACCTTTTCCACACAGAAATTTCTGTTTGCTCAGGAATTCTTCTTAACATGTCACTAGTTTCTCAAAATTTTCAATCTCCTGCTGAGACTAAAAGAACTGTTGACCATTTAAAAAAACATATGTCAAAGAAAGCCGAGTCTAGACAACTGACTGAAGTTTAATACAGAATACAGTCTGTTGGCCAAAAGGATCTGGGAAAAGAGAGTACTTACAAGTGAGGTGTCATATTCAACAAAGTTTTTCTATTGTCTACATGAGTAGGAAGAGAATGAGTATGTCTAAGGAAAATAGAAAAAGAAATTTCCTGTAGATGTTATTTTGATGTAAAATTAGGTCCCTGTTTATTACAGCCAAAAGAGTGGGGTTTTTTAATAATTGGAATACAGTTGTACCTAAGAGAATTTGTGGCAGGAAGAACGTGACAAGGAATCATGGGAGTTGTAGTTCTCTGGGTTCTCACGCATGCTCAATCAATACTTGATTGTCATTGGCTGAAAGATCATGTGACATGTTTAAGCGCTGTATTTAAACATAAGAAAACTACAACTCCCATGATTCCTTGTCACATTCTTCCTGCCACAGGAATTCTCTCTTTTTATTGTTTATTCTGCCTTGAATTGTTTCCTCCATCAAAATCATCTTGTAGTATGATCGCCACTTTGGATTATAATGGAGAGATAAGGGATATCCTGGATAAGAAGAAATTAATTACATTAAAAATCAGAGTGGACAAGAATTATGGATGTTCTACTTCAAAAATGCTAAAATCTGTAACATACTTCTTATAGGCAATGCATTTAATATAGACAAAAATATTTCTAATACTACTGAAACCAAATATCTCTTGGAATAGTGGAAACTTGTGAACTACCTTAACTTTCCAAATACCTCTGAAGCTGAAGTTACAATAATATTATCTGGAACGTACACTCAGACTTAAGTGGAGAGGTGATGGAAATCACACAGAAGCATTCTAGTACTTATTAATGTTAAAATTGTGTTAGGATTAAGCCATGCACACACAAGAAAAGAATGGAAAAAATACTCTGACACAGAAAGCAACATTTTACAGGTCAGAGAGTAATCAAATAAGATACAAATTACCAGGAGTCAAACAGAGCTAGATCCAGCAAAGCAAATTATCCAAGAACAGAGCAGAGTATAGGCAGTGGTTGAGCTTTCCACTTTCCATACTTTGAAAGTAGTTGTTTTCACCAAATAACTTGCATTTACAATTTGATCAATTCTAAAACATGCTGGGAATTTTTTGCTTGTTTTGGGGGTGTAGGGATTCTTTTTTCAAGTTCTGTGATGATATATTCCTCCTTCTTTGCTTGTGCTTTGGTGAAGATGACATGTAGGAAGAAAAAATAAACGGCTCAACTTCCAGGAGCAAGGCTTTGCAGCTAGGACTTTGGTATCTGTGAAATAATGTGTGTATATAAAATGCCATTAAAGGGAGCTATGGTACTCAGGACTTTAGACACATTGGCCTACCCTAAGCGAAACATTCTACCTGCTAATCCCCTTTTTCCTCAGTTCCCATCTCCAATGCACAGAATTGATTTGGTGGTGCATGTTAGTGCAACTTTCTTCTTGGACCAGACCTTTCCCAATGCTTTGGAGATTCAATCATGACATGACAGCATGGGGACTGCCAGGAGATGGGTGGCGTCTTCACCGTGATAGAGATCCAGGTCCTCACGTGCCTGAAGATTTTTGTTTGAAGTTCTCTTTGTTATTTCCTATTCAACCATTTCTATTATGAAATTTGGAAGATAACATGACATAAAAGATGAAATTGTAAGTGATAGTTCACCATGAAATGTTACCTGAAAACCAAGAAATGAAATGGTCTTCTGCAAAATCAATTTTATGGAAACAGTGCCTTTCGGTATATAAAGAAATATGTTTTTAAGAGCTTTAAAATATCAAACTTTCACGTTTGTCAAACTTCACAAAGTCTGGGGTTGGTTCAAAGCTCCATTTAGCTGCCATGTATTTTTCCCTTTTATTTCCTTTTCCATCATTTTTGATTACCAAGATTTGATGAATTGTTATCACAAAAACATAAGAACTGGCCACTTGAATCAGCTTGCTTTTCTGTCAAGAATGTCTCAGCAGTAGCTTTCATTCCTTCTTTGAAAGATTTCTTTTCAAGTCAAATGGAAAGCATTATTTTATAAAGAAGTACCTTACTGCTTTATAGCTCAATTTTCCAATGCTTCTGGAGAGAGACAGACTTAAGAGTTGAAGGCACTTGGGACACTGCAGGAGGCACTTTGCACAGCAGAGAACTGAATCATTAAATACAGTATTTTTTTAGTGCACATACAAAAAATATTGGCTTTGAGCTCTGTTTTGTGCATCTGTACAATGTTCCATTTCCTGGTAATATTTTTACAAGTGCTGTACCTGCTATACTGTAATTGAGTGTTATCGGGTTGATTTTTAACCTGCTTCTGTAAGTATCATAGAAGACCTAAGATTGCAAAATATAATGTTAAATATGCTACTTAAAGTGATTTCATAAGAATAGGAATTATTCTTTTGTCTGTTAAGGACTGTCTATTTGAGATAGAGTGAATAATGTTTATTTGTTTCTGTGTTTTCCAATACATCTGTAAAGTTTGTTACATTGTTATCATCATCATTGCTATTATTATTTGGATCAGAACAAATAGTAAAGAGGAGCAGAAATGTCATGCACTCAGGTCAGCTGCAATTCTGGCATATAGGTAAAATAACATAGCAAAATGAGGTGAAATTAAAAAGAGTGGGGTATTTCCTCAGGTGGGAAAGTTATATCAAGACTACCTGAGGTGTTAGGAATAGAAATTAGTGAAATGAGAGTTTCAAAGGCTATGAACAAAGAGGGAAAAGGTGCTTTCTAAGGAAGGTAATTGTAGAAACCCTGCTTGGTGCTGGGTGCATTGCACAGTCTTAGGTAGAGCAATAGACAATGGCAGAAGATAAAAAGAGAGAAGCCAGGGCCTGGTGAGCAGTGGACCCGAAAGCCTCAACCACAGAAGCAGAGAGGACCTGGGGAGGGAAGGATGATGGAGGCAGGGAAACCCTTAAAAAAAACACAGGCATTTTCCCACCAACGTTTTTCTGCTACCGGGAAACCTATGCGTGCTCTGTTTAACTATTTGGGTGCCCATAAGCATCACATTTTTGCTTGCAGCCTCCTTTACATGCCAACTCACATTTCCCAGACACATGTAGCATTGGTGCTTATGGTACACTGAAAGTTTTGTTCTCTGATATGAAACCTAAATTTATCGGCTTAGAAACCTTAATTTTTGATATTTTGATGCCTTTGAAAGGAAGGGAAGAAAGATTGTCATAACTGAGAACATGGTCAGGGAGATCCTTAACAGAAGAGAAGATGCAGAAAATAATGTACTGAAAGGAAAAGAAATAAGAGAAACAACTAGAAATAGAAGCAACTAGAAATAAAAACAAGAGAGTATAAAAGTGATTGAATGAACCAATGAATTCGATTATGCAGCAAAACACTACCAAAAGGACTATATGGATTTATATACCAGATAGGCTACTTCAAAATCAGATTTTTTTTAAAATTAAAAATTATAGATTAGATTAAATGATAAATAAATTATACATTTTATTTTGTAATAAAAGACAAAAATTTTGGACTTCATATAAGAGAGGTATTTAAAAATATATTTCAGGGGACAAAATATAAATATTTTAGTAGAAAAAAAGGAAAGTTTAACTTTGATTTAAGAAGACTTTCAAAATAGATCGTAAAATTATTTAAAACTACTGCGGTTTCATTTTAATTTATAAAAAAATTGCTTTTAAAATAACCTCATCTTAATACGGTTTTGTTCCCATTTCATATTTATGTTGTTTCAGAAAAGTCGTACTTGCATTTTTTCTATTTTATTTTTTAATTTTGCAGTGGTTAAAGCTGGTTTCTATTCTGGACATAAACTTTTTTTAACATTCTTTTTGATTCAGTTTCTTTTTGAAACCATCCCTTGTTTGATATCACAATATAATATACTGGAGAAGAAAATTAGGCAAGTGCTCATGAGGTTATGAGCAACAAAGCTTACATTATTTTTAAATTATCAAATAAAGTGAAATAGACAGGAAACTTAAGCTTCTCTTTTATTACTTCTTTTCTTCGGCTTCCCATTTCCTGGGAGAACATGTGAAGATACCATACAGTTATTGAGATAAACTGAGTGTGGCTGAGAAGTGAAGATATTCAAGAGAAACAGTGCAAGACCAGCTGTTTTAGTATGTCAGGTACAATAACAGCACATGCTCCAAATGTAAAGGAAATTGCTTAACCCTGCTTAGAGCAAGTGTGTGCAGATACACCTCTGGGTGTGTCTGGAAGTGGCTGAGTATATCATACTCAGTAATATATTTTGTGGAAATTGAGACATCCAGTCAAGGAGGCTATGATGCAGAATCTCTATTACTGTGTTTCTTATCTGCTGACTGCCAAACAGAGGTTTTCAAAACTTTATTTTTGCTTTCTTTATATCATGCATTGCTCTCATGAGGGTTTCATCAACTAGAATCCATAGAAAGCCATTTCTTATTCAATAAAACCCATAAATAATATTGGATGAGAACAATACAGTATAAGTTAAAAGAGAATTCTTAGTTGAACATAGTATAAAGAGTTTTGAATTTTTACCTTCCTAGGTATTTCAACATTTGTTCATACGACATCAAGTTACAGCTGCAATTATACATTATACAAAACACAAGGACCACTTGGGAGAATAAAAATAAACACAAAATACAATTGAAATAGACCTACTGAGTAACTGCATTTTAGGTGAACAAAAATCAGAAAGGAATGATTCCTTTCTTCAGCCATAATTCTTCATTCTCAGCTCTTATTTGGGACTCTGTTAACACCAGAGAAAAAACTTGTAAATGTAATTTAATCTTTCACCCTTTGGTTCTTTTTTCTTCTTTTCATGGGATTTAATTCATGACTGAAGAAATCAGTGTCAGCAATTAAACAGAATACCATATTCAAACATATAACCTCTTCTTAAAACAAATGAAGTGATTCAATTGGTTTAATTTATTCCATAAATTTGATTTTTTTTGGCAATATAACAAAATATATGACATACTTCATTCAATTGAATTATGTTCCATTAGATAATTAAGTGAATATAATTCAATAATAACATGACAGAATAAAGACAAATATTGAAAAGGGATGAGCTTTTACTTTGCCAGTTTTGTGAAGAGGTGAAATTTCATATGACAAAGAATGTAGTTTGTATTAGGTAAAATTGTCTTTTTTGTATTTTCAGCTTAATATAGGGAGGAAAAGACATTTAAAGACATATTTTATATGAGTTTTACAGATTGATTTGAGCTAG